TGTTGCTTTCAGTCTGGGAATATATTGGTCGGGGAGCTCAGAAGTTATTGTGGAGGAAGGACCCCTGTGCTCTGCCGGCCCCACGCACATGCCACGTAAGTCTGACTTCCTTAGGAGTACAAGGCTTGTTTTTCACAGTGATGTGGTGGGAAGATTTCACTTACATTTTGACAGATAGCGTGTTACTGGAGAGGTTCTGATAATTGTCTGGGGGAATCTGTTCTCTCTCAGCTCTTAGGAGATGTGGCAGTGTAACCTTATTGTGAAGCCTTGCTGACAATGACATTGAGGTATGTCTGCATGAACTGTGAAAAAGCTACTGAGGCGCTCCTAAGAGTTTATACGCGGCGGGGCAGAGCTCAGCCTTGGCCAGTGGCCTGGGGACTTATCCAGGATCTCTGATGGATTTGCAGCTCTTGGTATGAACATGGTGTTCCTTTGACTATGCTTCTGATATGTTTGATGTTTTCTTTCTAACATTAGGCATGTCTGCACCAGCTGCAGTGTGAGGTATGGGCGCTGCCTTGCAGATAAAATCTAGAGCTTATTTCCACGAAAACTCGCAGAGTGTAGTCTATCTCCAAAGCTATGTGTTTAAATTAGGCACATTTATGGAGGAAAAATCTGTCCGATTCTATTATGCATGAAGACAGAGGTACAAACTCCTGCCTCATGAAATCCTTATGCTGCACATGAGGAAGCAGAAATAATATAGGAAGAAAATTATCAATGTAGGCGTCCCATTTCTTTCCTAAGCATCTGCTATCAGGAAATCTCAGAGACAGGATACTGAGCTAGATTGATATCAGCCTGACCCAGTGGGGCTCATTCTTATGTTCTATTTATTTATCTAAGGGTGGGGAGGGAGCTATTAGCTCACATTTACTCTGAATGTGTTCTTTTGATTTTGAATGAGCGATAACTTTGCTTAACATTACCATGGAGAAAGAGACTTTGTCAAGAAGATGAAGGAAGGTTGTGAATTAACATGCTTCATCACCCCACTCAAGAGGCTCAGGAGCCCAACACTGTATCCTCTAGCTCTTCAACAGCACTGGCAAAACTATTTTCCAAACTTGGCAGGTTGAAAACTGTTATATTTGAAAATGATTAGAGCTTGTTTGTCTTAGCTGTTAGAGAGACACCAGCGCAAGAGCCTGAAAATCATTGAGCAAGCTAGTCTATGGGTCTGACAGCGTATGGTTGATCTGACACTTTACAGATGCATACTGTGTGACAGCTGCAATGAATCAGGTTATTAGAGGGACTTTCTGCTCCCTAAAGCTTATTTACTCCTGCCTTTCTCAAAAGGGAAGTGGGGAAGTGTAAAGTGTATCAATGAGATAAAGGAGAGTGCCCGAAGCCAGACAAACCAAAACATTTAGAGATTCTGCTAATGCTGTGAAGATGAAAGGAATCCCCAAATAAAAAGGAGCCAGAGACATATTTAGCAGAGCCTCATTCCTAAACAGCCAATTGGATGTAGGCAGGAAGGTCTCCACGCACATCTGAGAAGTTGTTTTCCCTTATAAAGTAATGGCTTGTAATGTTATGAGTAAAGAGGTTACTTTATTCCCAGTTTTCTATAGCAGTTGGGATAAGACTGCAGCTTCTGCCCTCCTTTACCAAAAAAGTATGGCATCTACGAGCTGGTGCGTGGCCTCTGAGCTGGCATTCTTCGGGCCAGCTGCAGCCCATTTCCTAGGCGGGGTGGCTACACAGCTCTGCTGTGAGGTCCCAAGCACATTTTCTGTCCATACAACAATCTGCACAAGTTACTGAAAACCAAAGAACTTGTCTTAAGGAACATGTAGCTAAGAGTTTTCACTGGTGTCTTGAAAAATGCTTGGGAGCTTTGCTGATACGACTGTAAAGAGAACAGGGGAAAAAGGTATGAAAGAAAGGCAAAATTACTTTTTCTGCTTATTTTCCTTTCTCTGATCATACTCTGGACATGCTCCTGTGATGGACATGGCAAAAGGGTTTAGCATGGACAAACAGAGAAGTTCTCAGGGGGAGCCAAATAAAAACCATAGTTTTTGGCTACAGATACAGTGAAAGAACTAGAACCTCAGGGTGTAGAGACACTGGGCAAATTGTGCTGTGGCGGTTTCTATATGAATGAGCGGGATAAATACTGAAAGATAGGCAGCAGAAAGTGGTGATGGAAGTGACCTCCAGAGGGAAAGCTAAACTACTTTCAGGAATGGTGTTGTAGTCTTTTTCTTGCAAAAAGTTACGCATATATTTGGGCTACACTGTTACATGTCCATAGAGGAAGGTTCAGAGGTTTGATCCCCAGCATTTAGGCTTGGTTCTCAGAAGGCTTGTTCTGTTCAGTTGTCTTCAGATTCTTATTCCTGTGTCATGTCAAGTATATTGTCCCTTTGCCCCTACCCCTCTGGCAATGACCTATGTTGCTGAGAAGAAAGGTGTAAACTACTGATGTAATTTTTTCCCTGTGTGTTTTTATCTGTGTGATCATAACTTGAGCATGGAATCACTAAAAAGAAAAAAAAATACCTATAATGTCCCTCGAGATGGACTGACCTAATTTCCTTGCATAGTTCACCTGTTTGCCTGCCTTCCTTCCTTCCTGCCCCAGGACCTTCCATAACGTAACCCACCGGCTGCACATAGCCCCGTCTCTAACAAATATTCTTCATATGGTAGATCCCTCTAAACAACTGGTTTTTCCTCTATCACCATATCAACAACTGCCTGCTCTGAATGAGACTCTGTATCAGCTGTATCTTTTTCACGAGCACCCTGAAAGACGGGATACCCACCACTTTGGTGCCCATGGCAGGCAAGGTTATATGTGGTCCCCACCCACATAACCATTCCTCGTAGCGGCTGAGGGGCTGCTGCTGCCATCATTGCCACCACCAGGAATTATGGTACACACCGGGCTAAGTTTACAGGAACTGTGATGAAGCTTAACAGACATATAAAGGTGTCTGTGGTACATCCATGGCCACTGCCTCCTATAATAGCCACAGAGGTCTCTTGGAGAAAGCTGTTGCCTGTATTTCTAGCTATGCTGAGGTGCAGTGTGAATGGTGTACCCATTCTACTGAAGGGTTGTTTACTTGGCTCTGCAATCTCATATTTGCTTTATGCACTACAGCATCATCACCAATAAGCTTTTTTCGGAGTGTGAACCTCTTCTCAATAAGGTGAAGAGGTTGGATTCTTTTGGATCTTTGTCCTAGTCTTGTTATTTCCAAGAAGTAGTAGATGATGCTTCTGAAAGCCTTGAGTTATGTTACCTGAGGTAATTGGTGTTTGTATCAAAATCAGGCACAATACTGTGGTGAAGGGTTCTGCTGAGCGAAATTCTCCTTCCCCTTGACCTGGGTTCCCTGATATAATACTATATGTTCTATGCAAGGTATATAATTTTTCTCAGCTGTGTTTTTGAGTGTTGTTTGAAAACAAAGAATTTGGTTTTGGCTATCCTTTGAGTGTCAGTTGGAGACACGCAAAAAAGAATCTGTTTATATCCTCTGTTGTAGGTTGCTTACCTTGGTGGGGTTTTTTCTTTTTTTTTTTTTTTTTTTTCCTAAGTATGCCTTGCCTGGGTGCTGGAAGTGAAATAATAAATAGCTTTTGCATGGCTCATGTTCCAACACTTCTTAGCTTCTGTTTCTGACCCTCAAAGGCAGTTACATTCCTTAAAAGTTCCTTTCCTTAAAAGTTAAATTCCTTTTGGCCTTCAATCCATAATTCTGCCTATCTGCTATCTCTACTAGCGGCCTAATCCTTACAATCTCTACATCAGAAAAACTCCCACTGTGGTTGTATGGGAGATTTTCTTGCATTAAGACTTACTCAATTAGGCAGCAAACACATGATGCTCCTCCCCATTGTAACAAGACTCACAAAGCAAGGATCTCACTTGGATTCTCACATCTTTCTTGGCTTGTGTACATAGAGCAGTTTTGAACTTGTAATGGTTACGTATTGGAGTTGAGACATGCTGATTTCTGGTCTTTGGTAGAAACTTAATGACAAAATATTGTTGACTATGAAAGAGCTGCTTCACTAGAATCATCCTGTCCAGGGAACAGCTGGCTACAGCTGTAAAAATCCAGTCCTGTGCTGAAAATAGCTTGTACAGTGAGAACCCTTGATTTATTCGCTAAAAATATGTCCAATGGAAAAGCTAGAGGGGTTATAAAATTTAACAACTTTATCATGAACAGTTTGAGATGAGTGTATGACAGTCCAGACTTGTGGCCGTCAATGGAGTAGCACTAGGGTGAAGTTGGCCCGCAGGTCCTAGAGTTCTGAAAATAAGCTGACAGAGAAACAGAATGGATTCTAACCCATCATGGTCCAGAGAGGATCATAACAATCTTTTAACAAAACATTTTCATAACTTTCAAAGACTTCACTGTGAACCCTTTACAACAGCAGGTACTTTCTTCATCACCCTTAAGCCTATGGGCAATAGTTAGCATACAAGCAAAACGCTGAGCTTTTTAAGAGACTTTGTAGCAAAATTCAGCAGCTGCTTAGCTTGCCAGAAATATTTTCATTGTTTTTGTCAAAACCTTTAATGAAAACAAAGTGTTTCTTCAAAAATGCCTTCCCTATTGTAAATGACTGCTCTTCCAATTTATCTCTCTGCCTCTTGGATGTTACTATGGAGTCCTGGACCTCTCTTGTTTGAACACATGCTCCTCCTGCCAGAGGGTGTCTATTGTGGGCACACTCCGTCTCTCTGTATTGTAGCAACTCTCCTGAAGTTTTCAAGTGTTTATCTTGCACAGCTGAAAGTCTCCTCCTGTTTCATGAGCTCTACGCTGGAATGCAGTGGAAGAGACCCAGGGCCTGTGGCCACCCGGATTAGAGGTTTTTGTAATAAGGTCCCTATATGGTTTTGTTAGAAACTTCAGCTCTGTCTCTGTCTGTCTCTGCTCCTTGTTTGGGAGGCTAGTGGGAGGAGAAGAGCTGAAGGGGCTATATAACCTCCGAGCTTTCAGATCCAGAGTGCACCATCCCAGAGCAGCTATCCCCAGCCAAGCACTGTCAGGGTAAGTGGCACTGAACCAATAGCATGATTTACAGATTGCTGGAGGACTTCAATTAAATAATGTCAAATGGAAGCTATTCAGGAGGACGTACTGCTGGGCTGTAGTTTGCTTAAGCAAACTTACTTATTAGAGTTGAATTGATAAAATGCTTGTAGTATCTATACTGAGTTGTCTTTATTTTATAGCCCTTCTGAAAGGCAAAGAAAAGTTCTACCTGATGATTGTGCTGATTCCACCACCACTCCAGCAATTGTATAAAGACACAATCTCTGTAATGCCACAGCTGGAATTACAGCTATATTCATGTTTAAATGAGCCCGTGTGACCTTGGGGTGTTAGTCTGGGACAGAACAGAGTTCCTGAAGGGGTACGTAGTGGCATTTCTCAGCAGGTTTGCTTCAGTGCTGTTAACTCAGTGTTAGGTGACGTGAGTGTTTTGGGGAATGTGACTGTAAGAAGAGCTGGGAGTGTGCAAATTAGCAGTGTCTAATAGGATATGATAAGGATGCGTGTGTGTTCATCCTTGTCTCTATCTATATGAAACTACTGTTCTGTAAAATGCCAAATGTTTCATTAAGGAGCAGGCTACTCATGGCATTTCTTGTGAGGCTGGAGTTCTCTTAATAGCTTGTTGTGGAGATTGGAGAGGTGATTGGTTATCTTTAGATGCAAAGCAAGTAGAAGAAAGAGGCTAAATACTGTATTAATTACTTGGGAGAAAAATTTCCTTTCTTCCACAGTGCTGAGTGACATTTGCTGCTGTAAGATGTTGCTACTGCATGCTGTTGCAGTCCTGAGCTGTAACTCACTGGTTGCCAGCAGAGCGCCCTGTCTGAAATCATTCGGCTTTGATTTTTCAACTTTTTGTGCTTTATTACTAAATATGGTTTTCATTTAGAGTCCACTAAGCTCAGAAATGTAGCCTTTCCTGCCCCCTTCTTTCCCCTCCCCTAAGTGATTTTTGGCATTGCGTTAGCTGCATGGGTTTGAGCAAACCCCCTGACCTCGAACTCTGTTCCAAAAACAGACGGTTGAAAAGCCTATTTCCTAATTAGGAAATGGTTTGTCCAAGCCAGTCTGTTCATTCATGTTAGATAACAATTGTACTCCATTCAGTAAATGTTTGAATATAAAGAGCCCGTTTTCCCAGGAGTTTAATAAATACAAAAATCGCAACCTACTTTCCTCTCCCAATAATAATGATAACATATCTGGAGTACATCAAGTTAGGAATTCCCTGTTCTTGTCTTCTCCTGGGAGCTATGCCCACACAGCCTGCAGGAGCGGGGCTCGGGGCTGCCTGGCTGGGGAGAGATGGAGGATTTGGGAGAGCTGTCTGTGCTTGTTGCGTGTGCTGCAGAGGCTAAACAGATTGTGGGCTACTTTGCTCATCTGCCATGGCTCTCACTGACCCCATTCCCACTTTGTCCTGCGCTTCCAGTATTCCCGTGGCAGAAGGTTTTGGAGACTGCGTGCGGAGCCAGCTGGTCTGTGGATGACAGCTGTCTCCTTTAGCTGTTAACACATTGCGATTTGTTGAACTCTGCATGGAAGCCCGGGCTCAGAGCTGGCCAAGTGATTCCCTACCACACTATAAATTGCGAGCAAATAGTTCTTCTTGAGTCCTGCTATTCAGTGCTTGTTTCTGTAATTGACTTTAATACAAAGCCTTCAAAGCATTTTTATTACCCGTATTATCTTCCTGTTGCCAGAGGAGGAAAACAGTTTCTTTTTACTGAGACAAGGAGCCAACAGAAATTACTCTGCCGCTCTACAAATGCAGTTTATTAGCTGCTTTGAAATGATGATAGAGCATACGCTATGGCCTGTTTTTAAAACATATACTGTCCCTGACTTCGTCTGAAAGGCGGGTTATTTTTTCTAAGTGACTATGGGAGGCCTGGAAAAGGCTTCTTTTTTTTTTTTTTTTTTTTTTTTTTCCTTCCCTTTTTAATTGGCAACAAGTCTTCTCTTTTAAAAGGTTAAATGTAAACTTAATTGGCCATCTTCACCCAGTGGGTCAATATCTGCATCAGGAAAACACCCCTGGTACATGCATAGCATTTAATGTGGTTAGGTTTTGGGAAGCCCAAGGCTGAATGGGGAAGACTGACGTGCTCTTACCTTTGTCAGCTTTCCACATGTGCCAGGATTTTGTCAGGGTGATAGAAAAGAGGGGGAAAGTTGTGCTGAATCCGATGCGAAGGGGTCTTTGTTTTTGCAGCTGTCTGTCCAGCGTTCTCTTTTATCTCCCACCCACCCCCAACTGTGAAACTGTGACCAAATTTAGATAAACATTTGCTGCTCTCTGCTCTGTCTGCCCATGCCGCAGGACTGGAAGTCTCCTTTGGAATCCCCTGGATAATCTCTAGTGCATACAGCCCTCCGGCAGATGTGGTTGAAACCTCTCCTGCTTTCCAAAGGAAGCCCATTCCCTCGTATGGCACCGGAAGCCTTGTGATTGCCAAACCGGTGCCATACCTCTCTTTGATGGTGCTGGTTGCTTTCATACAGCCATCTCAAGGGTCTTCAAGGGTGGGTCTGCTACCTGAATATGTTGTTTTTTAAAAAATTCTTTCCTGCTGTTTTCATAGAGCCATTTTCTGTCTGGAGGGCCTGAGGACATTGACGTAGAAGATGTGTGAAGAAGAGGACAGCACCGCCCTTGTTTGTGACAATGGGTCAGGGCTCTGTAAAGCTGGCTTCGCTGGGGATGATGCTCCAAGAGCAGTTTTCCCATCCATTGTGGGTCGTCCCAGGCACCAGGTGATGAATTGCTTTGGTTATTCCATACTGGGCTTGTTGAAGGCTTTGCTGCCCTGTCCCCAGCCCTCCACCCCAGGGCCACCCTTTCCTGTGTCTGGGGCGCGTCTGTGTGATCTGTGTCACACAGTATTTGCAGGCAAAATGACTCCAGTAGTGCACTCACCTGAGTCAAAGAAGGTCTCTTGCCTTGTGGAAGGAATCCTTCTAAAATTTTTCACTGCCTTCTATGCCCTCTTTTCCCTGGCCCTTAATTTTGGATCACCCAGAGAACTTGGTGAGTAAAGCTAGTTTAAAAAAAAAACCCGAAGTAAAAAAGCCCAATACAGAAGTATCTGGAAATTTTGACTGCCCTAAAAGCTGATGATAGGGGATGTGTGGACAACTAAAGGAGGAAGGAGTTTTCAGTCAGGTTCCTATTACCCTTCCTGACTTTATTCATTTAGCTGTATCACAAATGGGCATCTGTCTAGGGTTGAGTTTCCTTAGCTTCAAGGTTTACGTTTGAGTATGTGATACATTCCACTCAATTTTAATAGTTTGCAAAATACATTTATTATCTGAGCTGTTAAATATAGAGAGTTTCTGAGTCAGATCATCATTGGTATGAACTAGAGCAGCTTGGCTAGGTCACAACAAACTAATCCACCTCGTTAGCAAATCCACCTAATTGCTTCTATGCCATCTGAAGCTGTGGTGAAGTAGAAAGAGGTAAACTGCTTGTAAGATGCAGCACTTTATATGCCCAGAAAATGCATTTTAAGTTCTTCAGGGCTGGAGAAATGCCTGCCTTTCAGTATAGCAGCTGGGGCTGGAGGTCTAATTGAGGACTCTGGGCATTACCATAATTAAAAAAATATGTTCAAATGTCAGCTTCTGTAGATGGTGTGAATGGTATTAATTGCTCAAGATCAAGCCATACAGTCACAGTGGAAACAAATACAGATTTCTAGAACTTTTCTTTCTTGATTACATATCACAGATAGTATTAGTCCCCTGAAGGAAGGATCATTCCATTAAAAATTGCAAATCCAGGTTGCCTATTTTTAAGACAGAGAGTTAAAGATGCCAAAGTTTGTAGTGTGTAATGACTAAGTTATGGTAAGAGTATTACGCACTCGAGGTGTCCTATTATACTATTTTTTTCTCCAGTATTTCTGACTTTAACATAGAGACTAGTGTATATCCAGAGTATTTTCCAGCTTCTGGTATACAGACCATTTCTACAGAATCCATGAAAATACCCAACAAGAAGCCTGTACCACTAGATTTGAATTGTCTGTCTCTAATGACAATATTGTATTGTTGAAAAAGAAGAATGAAAGATGTTGAGATTTAAGCTATGGGAAATGTAAAATGTGTATTGCTCCATCTTGACCCTTAGATGGCACAACATCACTTTCTACTTTAACTCTATTTTGTTATAGTTTAGCAGACAGTTCATCCTTAAACAATAATGAACATTAAAACAACCCTATTTTTCCACTTTATCTTGATGCATTTAATGTTTTACTTGTGTTCATGGAAACATGAACTCCAGAGATCTAAGTAAACTAAAAATTTTATTTTGTGACTTGAAGAGCAACAGGTAATTCTCCATTCATGAGTATTTGTGAAGTTATTTTGTAACAAGTATAACTGGCAACTGGGTTTCTTTCACAGCTAATGTTCTATCTACTTTGCGACACCTATCCCTGAAACACTAACTCCATTTGTGTTATTTTATAGGGTGTGATGGTTGGTATGGGTCAAAAAGACAGCTATGTAGGTGACGAGGCTCAAAGCAAGAGAGGAATCCTGACCTTGAAATACCCCATAGAACACGGCATCATTACAAACTGGGATGACATGGAGAAGGTATTTCAGCTTTGAAAAGTTGATGTGTATCACTGGTAAACACAACTACTTGAACCAAATATTTACAGAATACCCACTAAACTTTAGATGAAAGTGTCATGCTATCAAGTATGGTTTAATGAGAAGCTTGTTAACAACAAAGGTTAATTTGCATCTAAAGTTGAAGTATCACTAGGAGTACATCAAAATAGTTATTGGGAGTTCTTTTACTCCAGTGTGTTCTATGCCTTTGCTAATTACTGGAGGAGGGGGGGAAGGAAAGAAAAGGAATATCCTCAATTTGCTTATAAGGAAATGGAATTTAAGAAGGTTCCTTTCTGAAAAAAAAAACAAAGCATGTATGCATTTCTGATGTGAAGGGCACTGTTTACACACATACTTTTTAATGCTTGAAAGATTAGTAATATTGCAGTGCAATGCATCCATTTCAGAGCCAGTATTTCGATGAAAGGATGCCAGAACCATGTTTATAGTCTTAGGCTGTACAGCTGATATAATTTCTAAGATGGTATCACTATTTAATGTTGTGCTGTGGAAATAGGGCTATTTGGAAGAGTCGGGATATCACGACACACTGCAAGTGTGTGGAGCCACGCAGGACTTTGACTCTCATAACATTGTAGGTTTTAATTGGAAGCAAAACCTTTCAGATGCCTGACTTATCAACTGCTCCCTAATAACCACCAGCTGGAAACCAAGCTTAGAAAAAACTTCTTGGCCTTCAGAAAGTCTCTGGTGGTTTTACTCCTTATTGGTGTATTAACCTCCTCATTGAGGTCTTCTTGGCCTCAGATTTTTGTAGACGGTAAGAATGAGTTGTGTATAGGTGTTAAACACAAGTTGACTTTCAGCCTCACAAACCATTTGTCTTCCTTTCTTTTTATGAATTCTTGGGCTGGCCTCTACAAACCAAAAGACTAAACTGTCTTCAAGAGACCCATTATCTATTAAACTCTACTGTATAGGTCTGCATATGTTCTAGAGCTGTTCTGGAACTGTTTCACTCTCAGTCATTATTGAAATAGTGTTGCTGAACCAAGTCTGTCCTGCTGTGTCTCTTCTACTGTAAGAACAACACATTTATTTTCATTAACTTACATGTCCTTAAAATAAGTCATACATTACTAGCAGTAAAACCTGAGGCTAGTGCTTTTCTTTCTACAATTACTTTTGTAATCTCTATGAAGGCAATAAGAACAAGTGCATGAGAAACATTACTAGCCTGTCTCTAGGGCTGTAAGCAGAGTGCTGGAGCACAGTACCTGTCTGGAAGTGATTCTGAGTTCTTTCCTTTGGCTTCTCCTGTTGTCCTCAGATCTGGCATCACTCTTTCTATAATGAGCTCCGTGTTGCACCTGAAGAACACCCAACTCTGTTGACTGAAGCACCACTGAATCCCAAAGCCAACCGGGAGAAGATGACCCAGGTAAGCTCTCGCTAAAGCTATGGAATAATTCCATCTTTGTGAATTCAACAGGGTGTGAACTTCATAATTTCAGTTAGTCATGATGTCCAGTAGTTTCTCTCTCTTAGTTGTGGAAGATGGAAAATTCATAGCGACCACTATGCATATTATTACATTTACCTTAGAAAATCGGTGTATCCACTTTGAATGTGAGTCCTTCAGTCTATGTTTTATGTCTTCTTATCTGTTTTTATGCCCAGGCCTATTACAAAATTATATTTAATATATGCATGTGTCTATATTTGTACATTAAAGATATAGGCCAGATACAGGGAGATGTCTTATAGGACAATTATTTTTTCGATTTAGATTTTGTATCTTCATTCCTTGTTATTACCAAGAAACATGGAAATCTTCTCCCTCTCTTTCAGTAAATTGCTTCAACTAAGCTAAAACCCCTAGTGTTAAGGCAATGATTTTAATTGCATTTCAGATTATGTTCGAGACTTTCAATGTGCCAGCCATGTATGTAGCTATTCAAGCCGTTCTGTCCCTCTATGCTTCTGGACGTACCACAGGTAGGCCTCTGGGGAACACGACACAGATGTTGGAAATAGTTTAATGTGTTGATGTGCACCTGGGAATGAATCGTGTGTTATCTTCTCAAAGGGATTGTGCTTGACTCTGGGGATGGTGTCACCCACAATGTGCCAATTTATGAAGGCTATGCCCTGCCGCATGCCATCATGCGTCTGGATCTGGCTGGCCGTGACCTGACAGACTACCTCATGAAAATCCTGACGGAACGTGGATACTCCTTTGTGACCACAGGTAAGGACACGCTGCTGACTGAGGAGGAGAGTTGTTTAATGTGCAATGTTTCCAGTGGCCTTAGAAGGACTGGCAGCAGTTCTGTTGTTGAGTGGACACAAGAAGGAATCTAACAGAAAAGTCCCCTACAAGACTAGCAGAGGATTTGTTTAAAAAATGGGGAGGGTGTGAGGGTGTTGGAGGATGAAAGGGAACAACCTGTCGCGTGTCTGGGTCCTTCCTGAGTGCCATTCTAAGGACTGAATCTTCTTGACAGCGGAGCGTGAAATTGTCCGAGACATCAAGGAGAAGCTGTGTTACGTGGCCCTGGACTTTGAAAATGAGATGGCCACTGCTGCCTCTTCCTCCTCTCTGGAAAAAAGCTATGAGCTTCCTGATGGTCAGGTGATCACCATTGGAAACGAACGCTTCCGCTGCCCAGAGACCCTCTTCCAGCCATCTTTCATTGGTAGGTTGAATGATTGTTCTGCCTTGGTAAACTACACGTAAATATCAAGTCCCTATTTTCTTTTGATTGTGTCCCATTGCGAACTCACTCAGACCTATACACAAGTATGCCCTAGCACCCATTATAAAATCATCCTTTAGAACAGCACTATTAATATGGTGGGAGGAACTTCATGTCAAACAATAAGGCAAGATGCTTTCCCAAAATAAACCCTAAATGTTTATTCCTGGCTTCTGGTAGTATGTTGTGCAGTTGGCTACTACGAGAAGCGTGGCTACAAAGCCACTTTTCTAAGTAGTGTGAGGATTGTAGATTGAATGTGCTTGCAGGGAGGTGGCATGGCAGGGCAAAGCACTACTTTTATTTTTCAAAAAGGCTGCTCCAAATCCTGAATCCATGGTTCATCAACTTTGCAGAGCAAAGCCAACACAATGCATGCTAAACAGCCACCAAGGTAGACTTGCAACAAGGTCACACAGAAATCCAGTGTCAGTTCTGCCAATTGGCAGGATTTCAGCTCAGAAATAGATGAAGTAGTTGCACACTTAGAGGTATTAGGCCGTATTTTGACTGTTCTGTCTCTGAGCTGGCTCAATTTAAAAAAAAAAAAAAAAAAAAAGAAAAAAAAGAAAAAAGAAAACAAATTATTCCAAGACCTTATAAGGAATTCTTAGGACGTTTGAGATTGCCCGCAAAAGCCTAGTGGAAACTTTATTATTCCACACCCCCAGCTTGCTTTTTAAGGAGGAGTTGAGTGCGTAATGGGGAGAGGAGGGCTGAACACCAAGGAACTCCTAAGCAAATAATTTAGCCAGCTGCAGAATGAGTTCCCAGATTTCCACCGCTGTCTTCCAAAGGAAACTAAAATTCACGTTGTCAGTTCTGTGTTAACCATTTTAAGTCTCTGTATGGAGTTACTTCCTCAGTGTTCTTCTGTGACTTCCCTAGGCATGGAGTCTGCTGGCATTCATGAAACCACTTACAACAGCATCATGAAGTGCGATATAGACATCAGGAAGGATCTTTATGCTAACAACGTGCTGTCTGGAGGCACTACAATGTATCCGGGTATTGCAGACAGGATGCAGAAGGAAATAACTGCTTTGGCTCCCAGCACTATGAAGATCAAGGTATGGCGCAATTATTTCTAGACTATTTGAGTTGGCATGTACAAAGTCCTCAAAATCTAATTAAACATAGCAACACTTTACAAAGTAAGTGCTTTGCACACATTCTGAATCGCGTCTGTACCTTCTAGCAAATAATCACCAGCTGGTAACTTTGCTGCTGGAAAAAGAGGGCCTTCTCTCCTCCCATTTCCTTGTTCATGGTGAATTCTGCAAACTGGACCCAGCAGCATACATTTTCTGCTGGGGCTACGTGTGACCTTCTTCAGCCCTTTTTGGCTGATGAGGATGGGAGAGAGGAAATGCTGGTTTTGTCCTTGGCCTACAAATTCAGAAAAGAAAGTCTCTGACAAGCCAATCTTCCTTCTGCTGCCTCAAATCTTCAGTTCTTTGCTTTGCAAACATTTTATCAGCTATACCAGTAAGAGGGCTCCACAGGTCACTTGTTTTTCCAAGCCCTCCTGGGATATCATTATATGTTCCCAGAGCAATTATATCCCTTTTTCTTGTATGCAGTCATGAATACACGAATGTACCACTCTTACTGGGCAGACTGACTCAGGCGGAGAAATTGGGAATTTAGACTTAAATAACAACTTTTTAACTTTACTGTTTGCAGCAATGGCTGACTAATGCCAGGGATGACACTAGCACATAGATACAGTGCTTTTGTTAATATCAATTATCATGGCTTTAATATTTTTTTACAAAAAATGTATTTTATTCACAGTGGACAGTTGTACTTAATGTGTTTATTTCTTAAACAGATCATTGCTCCTCCTGAACGTAAGTACTCCGTCTGGATTGGAGGCTCTATTCTTGCCTCCCTGTCTACTTTCCAGCAGATGTGGATCAGCAAACAGGAGTACGATGAAGCTGGCCCATCCATTGTTCACCGCAAATGCTTTTAAATTGCTTTATCTTTATATGTCTCAGTGTATTACTGTGAATGTATTCAGGAAAATACATTCTTATCATTTCATTCTTTCATTCCATAAATCCTTCATCGTAATGACTCTAATTAATTGGATACTATGTATTTTTTTTTTTGGAATAAATTTTAAATATGCTATGAAATTGCTGCTCCTATTTAAAAAAACCCAAACAAACGCATTTGTGGAGGTACCATTACAGCTGGTTTGACACTCCATCTTGTGACATAAATTTGTTACTACACTATACTGGGCTTAATAGAAAAAAGTGGTACGTTGTGTTCAGTTATACCAATGCTAGAAAATGCTCAGCTGTCAGGCTGCACGCTGTCAAAGTTTAACCTCAGAAAACATTTCAGTCTACAAACAGAACTAGTCTTGATTCTTCCAAAGTTCTGGGCAGTACCAAAGGAGCATGGCACCTATTCGATATCAGGATGAGCACATGCGCTCTGCTTTGCGTCTGCTCTATCCAGATGTATTGTCTAGCCACATCACTCTTAACTCACAGCTGTCATGCTGGAAAAGCTAATTTCTTACAGTGTGTGGCTGAGAGGTGTACGATGCATGCTAAACAACTCCGTGTGTTTTCTTTAAAGAAATGTAACCTGTTCCTTTGGGAGCGTATCTAAACACTAAGGTTAGATTGAACACATGACTTTCCTATCATATGCCCTCAGAATGCGTGCGGCCTGTTATTTTTATGTTGTGATTTCTGACAAGGTCTAAAGGGTAATTAAGCTGGCTTAATACACTTTCTTTTCAGAACTGGCTTTTTTTTTTTTTTTGAGGGGGGATTAATATAATCAAAGTAGATAAAATTTAGACAATTTTCTTTTTCAGTGATTTTTCTTATTCCATTTATAGTCTTAAATACATCAAAACTGATATTCAACTAGAAATATATGCATAGAAGCTGAAGCCAGTAATATTGTCTTAAAAATGTATGTATGAATAAAGAATTCACCAAGACAGACCTGGAAAGGGTCTGTTCTAAGGAACTTGCTGCAATCTGTATTCACTAGAGTTCAGGATAAAGGATGCTATTTATTTTTGTTACCTATTTTCCTGTCTAGTCTCAATAGTTTACCTCACTTGCCTGTTACTCGTTATCTTTCAAACTGTAAGCCCTTTACAACAGCACCTGTTATTTACCATGTCTGAGTAACCCCTGGGTTCCACATCTGGTCCAGCTTCTGACTGTTAGCACACGTTCCAAACTTTTTTGTACTAACCTTATTATTTAAAATATAGGTCAGCTACATTCTTGGAACAGATACTAAATAAACTCTTACAAGAGCAAATAACTTTGTATGGTTCTTCCTTCTAACTCTATCTAGATCTTTTTATCTAACTCTAGATAGAACCAGGGAATCTCTTTTGGGATAAGAACTTGACTTCAAATAAAAGTTTCTACTGCTGGGTTGCTGGAGAAGACGTATTTCTCCAAGGGACTCTGATGCCTCTCTTCTATGTCAAGATGTGATGAGGGTCAGCTCTCAGGTAAAGGACTTGTGTTTTCTGCTTAATAACTTAGCTGAAATTTGAGCTATACGAGGATGGAATGGAATGAAAAAAATCACCTAAACCGATGTGTTTGACTCTAATATGTATAATGTTAATTCACTGAAGCAGTGAAGAGATGTACATAGCTGGAAGTCACAAAAAGCCATCTACTGTTAAAAATCTCTAATTCTCAGAGAGCAATTAATGCGAACAAGTAACAAAAGAAAATTACTTATTTCAACACGGTTACTGTTGTTTGAAGTTCATTTTATTGTTGTGTTGTATAGGTGAGATTTGATTACAGATTCAGGGGTAATGCCACTGAACTCCATCTTGACAGAGCAACAAAATAACTCCAAAACAGGCTAGAGCAATAAATATCAAACCATTCAATCTAAAATGTATAAATATAAAAGTCATTTCTGAAAATGTAGGAAAAACAGGAATCCTTTTTTCTGTTTTGGCCATTGTAATAGTAACATCGCTATCGTCCGTCCGTATCACCTCAGATCCAGCACAATTATCTTTATGTCTTTCCCAACCACATGGGTACACGGCTGCAGAAGAAGTCAACCCATTACTCACAGAAATCAATTTCAGTAGAATAGCGTGGGGGCTATTGTTTCCTTGTAATTTTCTGAGCCTGCTTAATACTATGCCTATCTACCCAACTTTAATTGTGCCTGTCACTGTGCCTGTTCACAGGCAAACCTGACCGTCACAGGTACAGACTGCTGAATAAAGCAGGGACTACAACAGCCAATCAGAAATCAATTTCTAAAGAGGATATGGTTTAGTGCTTAGCCTGTGAAACAAATTCTAGTTCTATGCCGCCCTTTATGTATCCCAGCAGGGGCCACCTGTAATGGAGAAGGCAGGCGCTGTGCTCTGCATTAGAAGAGGCACGTGGGGGACAGCAGCAAGGACAGTGTGACTCTTCCTACAGTGGCTTCAAAAATGTCTGCCCACATGATGGTGGGTTGTTTTTTTTTTTTGGTTTTTTTTTCAGCATTTAGGACTAGATCATGTCTTTAGACACAGTCATGGCTAACTAAGGGCTTGTATTGGGTCTGCGGAGAAGAGTTTTTACCAGAAACCAGGTGTAGATTAGGATTGTTTTAGCCAGGTTTCATGAAGCTTCCTGTATTATCACCTCTGATATTTTTCCTCCAGGAAATGAAGCTGTGATCTTACTGTTTTTGTTGGAAGATCGATGTGTTTTGAGGATTGTACTTGAAAGGATATTTGTGTTTTATATGGGATACCAGCAGTGTGTCTAATGATTATATATGAGCTCAAGTGGCCAGTAACTTCATTGATGAACTAAGTCTGTAAAGGACTGCTGTAAAGAGCCCATCTGGAACAAAAGTCTTACATTTTTTCAGAGTTGGACTACCTTCTCATTATCCCTACAGTCAATGATAAAAGAACAGAACAGAACAAAACAAAGAACCCCAACCTCTCCTTTTTAGGAGCAATATTGACATTCTGAGAGTCCTACAACAAAAATGTAATTTCCAAAGTGTTGCAGCATTACTTGTCCACGTTCGATCATTCTATTTTGAGCTATATGAGATGCTCTGCATTTGAAGTTAGCCCCATTTAAAAAAAAAAAATCTTAATTATTCAAAGGTAAAGATTGTTGTCTTCCAGTTAACAGTGATATTTCTGATAATTCTAACTGACTATACTGTTCAGCTATACGTATAGCATACTATGCCATTAAAAGACATGATAGTTACTGAGCAAAGCTTATGAGAAACCAGTGGAAAATTATGGGCAATGCAGAAAATGGGGCTTAATCTACTGATAGCTGTACTTTTTAGTAGCTGGGATGTTCTGTTGGGAGACTATGGTTGGGGAGATGAACTGAATTCTTTGTTTAAAAACTGAAGAGCTCAGGATTAACTCTGATTTGAAACTGTGGCTTTTTGCCTCTTCTGAAAGCAGGTAAAAGCAGTGACTGATCACAACTGCTTCTGGTAAGCCACCATTTGAATGGCAGTGTGTAACACTCAACTCATGGCTGCTACTGACTGCTTAAGCAGACTCCTGATGTCCTGATGTGAAGCACGAGTAATGAATTATTAAAATGGGAGGAAAATTATAAAGAAATCTAATATCTGAAGCATGTATCATCTCTGCTTGCAGCAGAACTATGGGCAAGAATTTGAATAATCAAAACCATGTTGGACTATATACTTACATTAAATAACCTAGGGTCCTTTGTATGTGGATGAAATCCCTTCTTTTTACAAGCAGAAACTTCTAGCATGCCAGCATTAGTAAGTCTGAAGATGCCAGTGCTGGAAAGCAAAAGTTGAAACTCCTGTTACATACTGCTCCCATCATATGCGCCCAAGGTTTCACATACAAATTGCTTATCTTAACAGGACAGCAGAATGGTACTCAATGACCTCTGATACACAGGAGCCAAGGCTGAGCTGGATTCTTAAAGGTATCTGAAATCAAGGGGAGCTGTATTCCTGTAAAGGAGGAGATGATGAGGGGAAGGGGAGAAAAAAAAATAAAAAATCCCAGTACTGGTGCTACTCCCATTAGGCAGATTAACCTACTAAGGGCTGAGGCTAGTTCACACAGGAACAGACACAAACCAGAAACTTAGGTGTTCTGGATTGCATTTCACCCTCTGAACTCTAGAGGGACAACTTAAAAGAGAACAGCCTTTAAGGTAAATATGCACATGACTAGTGGGAGTACACATCCTCCCCGCTCTTTTAGGTAATCAAGTAAAACAAAGTGCTAGAAAATGCACTGCTGCATATGTATGATCTAACACTTTGAGTATTGAATAAAACATTAGAAACCCCACCCTTCCGTAAAGAACATTGATACCTAATAACTACAGGACATGTAATTATGTAGACCTACAGCACCTGATTATTGAATGTTACAGATAGGACTAACAGGTTAGAGTTGGTTACAGGGTATCATCATAAACTATGAAAGAAGTTTGGAAGACCAGTGATTTGAAAAGGTATGCAGACGTGCTCTGGGTTACAAAGCCTAGTGCTTGCCCACTTGCCACTCAATCTGTATTTACAGCTCTGCTACCTGAATGGCCCAGATAGGAAATTAGGCAACCAGAATGGCATTCATAGAAGTCATCTACAGAGGCAGAAGGCCAGAAAGATGCACAGTCGAAGCAATGGTTAGCCCTGGGGCCTTGAAACGCCAAGCACACCAAAGCAGAATCACAAAATTGTGGAGGTTGGAAGGAACCTCTGAAGATCGCCTAGTCCAATCCCGCTGCTCCAGCAGAATCACCTTGAGCAGGTTCCCCAGGACCATGTCTAGACAGGCTTTGCATATCTGCAAGGATGTAGACTTCACACCCTCTCTGGACAACCTGTTCCATTATAAACCTTCACATTAATACTTACAGTTCCAGGTTTTTCCAGGTACTTACTGTTTGTATTTTACGAAGTACAAAAATAAGACCTTATTATCAAAAAAATTATCTTTATCCCTCTACTCCCCAACCTGCAATTTTCATATCATCCTAGAGAAATATGTCTAACCCCTCCACTTCCTTCAACAGACAGAATGAAGATGGGTCTGTGGTAGGGCACTGGCAGTGAGGTCTCCAGAAGAACAGCTCCTGTCATTACTACTCAG